GCCCTCCCTCTCCCTTCCCGCCCCTCCCCCCCCCGCTCGCCTTCCCTCCTTGCGCACGGCGGAGGAGGAGGCGGAGGAGGAGGGAGGAGGGAGGAGGAGGAGGAGCGGGGGAGGGAGGGATGGATGGAGGGAGGGGGAGGGGAGGGGGAGGGGGAGGGATGGGGGGGGGAGGGGGAGGGGGAGAGGGGGGGGGGCAAGCTAGGTGCGCATGCTTCATATCTGACGTCCTATCCCTCCCTCCCATCCCTTACCATGGCGTGGATCTCCTCTCTATTCGCACGATCGGATGTCGTAGCATGGCATTCCCTTACATGGCATAGCATGATGTTGCATATCAACGCGTAGCATGACATAGCATGGCGTGGCGACGCCCCAAAGTGGGGGAGGCTTTGCGGGCCAAAAAATCAACGAATCGACACCGATTGTGGAATCACTTCCGATGGTTTCTTCGGGAGGCCACTTTTTAGATTTCGGGGCCTATTTCGAAGGACCGAAAACCATGCCGTGGCATAGCGCTGGAAGTAATGACGCCAGCGCTGCAGCGGGAGCACGATTCGGAACGAGCAAAAGCGCGGAAATGAGGCCAGCGCTGCAGCGGGAGCACGATTCGGAACGAGCGGTAGCCCGAAAATGAAGCCATTGCTTCAGCGAGAGCAGCATTTTGAACAATCCCAGTGCGGAAGCACGAAAATGAGGACGCGTAGCCTGACATAGCAAGGCGTGGTGACGCCCCAAAGTTGGGGCTTCAGCGGCCCAAAAAATCAACGAATCGACACCGATTGTGGAATCACTTCCGATGGTTTCTTCGGGAGGCCACTTTTTAGATTTCGGGGCCTATTTCGAAGGACCGAAACCATGCCGTGGCATAGCGCTGGAAGTAATGACGCCAGCGCTGCAGCGGGAGCACGATTCGGAACGAGCAAAAGCGCGGAAATGAGGCCAGCGCTGCAGCGGGAGCACGATTCGTAACGAGCGGTAGCCCGAGAATGAAGCCAGCGCTTCAGTGAGAGCAGCGTTTTGAACAAAAATCCAAGCGAAAATCTGTTTACCGGGAATCCTGTGAGTTAAAAACAAGTGCGCGGAGGGGGGTTGGCCATTTATTGGACGCCACCAGGGGAGAGAGGAGCGTAGTATTCATTTTGTTTCTTTGTGGAGGGAGAGTGGAAGGAGGAGGGGGAGAGGGAGGGGGAGCGGGAGCGGGAGGGGTATGGGGAGGGGGAGGACAAGAAAGAGGAATAGGAGGAGGAGGAGGGGAGGAGGAGGAGGAGCAGGAGGGAGGAGGAGGCGGATGAGGAGGAGGAAGAGGAGGAGGAGGAAGAGCAGGATGATGATAATGCTGATGATGCTGCTGATGATGGCAATGATGATGCTGCTGCTGCTGCTGATGATGATGATG